AAATGAATAAGAATTGCTTGCTAAAAGTGGTTAAATTTAAGTATTATCAGGTAACAAGCATGTAAAACACATAATTCATCATGTTATTTCCAAGCAAACCCATCTATAAAATAGATAAACTCAACAAGGTTTTCTACAACCTAAAGTCATAAAAACTCGAGTAACTAAACAATCAAACATGCTAGACCACACGGCTATTACAACAAAAGATGATAAGAAGATTAGTTTTAAAACAATTAAATCATGCAAAAGCTCAGCATGATAAAACGGTTTACTCTTAGACCAAGTCCCGTTAGGCCATAAGAAAGAAAGAATTGACTAACCGTACAACTCCTCCCAAACAATGAGACTCTATATCTCTCAATGATTCATCCCAACAACTCCTTCTCTTGAATCATCCCAATTTTCAGCAAAGTCATCACTTGACTCTTTTGATACTTGATCTGGATGATTTAGTGTTTCTTCTTTCTCATTGCTCCTACTAGAAGGTTGAGGTGAAAATTCCTTCATTGAATGTCTTCTTTTCACTGCACACTTTCTTCTAGATTTGAAAGGAAACAATATCGAACCTCTCATTGATAAGAACACCTTTTGCTCCTTTAATGGAATAGAACTTCGATGTGAAGCTCCATGATTCTCATCAGATGATATGAACTATGTATGGATCTTTAGTATTCATAAGAGTTTTAATATTTGATTGATTCAGTTGTAAAGACAATTGCAAATTAAATAATCTAGTGATGATTCCTTTTTTCTCATGGAAATTCTTTAAATTAATAATTTATTAATTTATAGATTATATAATAATTCTCTAAATTAATAAATATTGGTAATCTAACACTAATAATTTATAGAAGTTCTACTGTATAATATACTAGGTCAAGACTGCACATAGCCGTCGATAGTCTTGTACGTAGAGTTACATTAGGGATCAGTTTTTTGTTTTATTTTTTTTATGGATCAGTTTTTACATTTTTGCACATATAGAGACTTTGTTACAAATAACAAGAGTTTAGAAGGTTAATCAATTTTAGTTGTTATATTTATTAGTGTAGATCTGTGTACGAATTTATAAATCTGCACTATTTCGAACTAATATAACAGAAGATTATTCCATAATTAAAACCCTGAACCGACCTTCAACATTTATCATTCCTTTTCATCAAATTCTTATTCCAAAACTGTAGAGATATTCCCATATTTTAAAATAAGTTTTCAGAGTTGTCACGTAATTTAAGGCTTAATAAATAAGATTATTTAGATTAATAATTTATGATTATTATCCTTCTCTAAATTTTTTTTCCACCAATAGTTATTTCTTATTAATTTATTTTGGTTAAAAAGTAAACAAAGACGAAATTGAGAAAAAAAATACACATAAGCATTGAAATGTAAAAGATAACCAACAATTTTGTTTCTTATCAATTTATTTTGATTGAAGAGTTTAAAAAAAAAGAATAAATTGAGAAAAGAAATACACAAATTATGTTAAAATTTAAAAGATAAATTAAAATTTAATATGCTTATTTTTGTAAACTAACACTTATTTCAAGAAAAAGAAATAATAGGAGTACACACGCGCACACACACAAAATTTTGGACTTGTTTCCATGAAAGTAAACATTTAAAAATTAGTCCTTCATAAAAATAAATAATCTTTATTAAATAATATTTTTTCTGGTCCCAATTTGAGAGCAATAAAAAATTTAAAGAAATTCTATCAATTAACAAGGTAGTAATTTTTTTTCGAAAATCCTCTATGTAAATATAAGTATCGACAGTTTCAAAATTATTATAATTACATTAAAATCATAGGACTTTTATAAATTAATCTTCCATAAAAATCAATAATTTTATTAAATGATACTGTAATTTTTTGCTCCCAACTGGGGAGGAATACAAAAATTAAAGAATCTCCATTAATTAATAAGATAATAATTATCATAAGAATTGGGAAATTATAGTAAAATATCAAACTAATTAATAAGTTTTTGTTTGGAATTTATATTTACGAATGTTTTAGCCTTGGTATACTTATGAGCCTGTTTGAAAAAACTCAAACCAATATAAACTTGAATTTGAGTTAGAAACAAGTGAAATTTTTATTCATAACAAAGGTTAGCAAAATTAGTTATGGCAAGAAAGGAAAATAAAGTTAGCAATAGTAATAAAAAATCGATCGTGAATAGTTATTATAAGTTGACTTTTCTTTCCTTCATTGAGAAAGATTTACAATTTATTCTTTAATATATTTGAATAAACTCGTTAACGATTAATTTTAGATAAATTGATAATTTTATAAACTAATAAAATTTTTGGTTTATAAACTTTTTGGCCCGAGGCATTATTAATTTATAGATGTTTATGTAATCAAAATTAAAAAAAATTATGTAATCAAAATTTAAAAAAAAATACTAGTACTAAAAAAAAGACCAATAAAATTAAAAAAAAAAAAAAAGTCTCGAACTAAAAGAGTGAGTGAGGAATATAATAATAAGATTATATACAAGAGAGTTTTGGGTGATGGACTGAGTCTAGTCAACTAACCTCTTCAACAAAAAACCTTTTTGACTATAACCATAACCCAAACCTCTCTTTGTGTTTTTCCCCCTTTCCAGATTTTCATTTCTTTTTCATACTTTTTTCCCCTTTTAATCTTTCTCCACCCCCACCTGTCTCTTCTTCCTTCATCCATCCTTCCACTTTGTTGTTTTCTCTGTTGGGTTTTTCTTTTTTTTTGTTATTTGGTTTGGGTTTCAGTCGTGCTCAGTTAGAATTTCCAGAGTCTTCTCCGGCCAGTATTTTCCGGCGGCTGTTTTCCCCTTCAGGCGATGATAATCTTACAAAACTGCAAGGTATGGGTTTTAAATTTTAATTATGGGTTTTACTTTTCCTGTAAGTTTCTTTTTAAATTTTGAATTTTGGAAGCTAGAGCGGAGGTATATAGGGTTTTGAATTCTAGCAAATTGTTTGTTCTCGAAAGGACCGTTTTTAGACAAGTTCGAGCATTTTGGCTGTAGGTGTAGTGGACTGAAGCTAATTGGCTTTTTTCCAGTGGCTTATGTTCGTCTTTATGTGCAATTTTATTTGATTTGTGGTTTCCCCCTTCCTTAAATAGTTTATCCTCTCCATCCATTGTGATGAAGCTTAAAATTCTCAATCTTTGATCCATATCATACTGGGGTCATTCTTTGAATGAATAATGGAAATGTAGGAAGGTTGGTTGGAAGTTGTTAAAAGGCAATAATTCTGCATGGTGTAACAGCAAAATTGTTTTATAACCTTTTTTTGAATACTATAACTTCTTATTTTACTTTTTCGTTGAACTGTTACATTCATGTTATTTGTGAATATTAAAGAAAAGACATTGATTGTAGGTAGAAATGAAGGAATTAAAGGTGAAAATGGAGAAACTGAATATTTACACTATTTTAAGTTTGGGTCGGAAATGATAATGTAACATGACTAGGATAAAAACTTGTAACCACCTTGGAAGTACATTCCTCGGAACTTGTTTTCCTGTGGTGTTCAGAAGAGGGAGGTTGGTTGGGGTAAGGCGCAGTGTGGCCAAATATGAGAACTTTATGAATTTCTCCATACTTTTATTAAGAAGATATTGTATACTTTCAACTGATGAACTTCAGGCACTATGAATTTGCTTGGTAGAATTTTGAATTCCGCTTTAGAGTTGGTATTCCATAAGGATTAGATACGCTTTTTATTGGCCTTTGGTTGAATCCCATATAAATTTTTCAAAATACTTTCTTAATGAGACTGCCAGAATGAGTTGGTATTATAGAACATCTATAATTGCAACCCCATCTCTATATCCAATTTTCAAGGTGTTTGGTTGTCGTGTGAAAACGGAAACCTAAGAAACTTTCTGCTTTCTGCTTTTCTTGCTTCACAATGCTGGTTACGTGGTTTGGAGTCAATTTAGTTCCCTATGAAAGGCATAGCTCAAAGGCCATGATATCAGTTGTAGTGATATTAAATCCAGTAACGTACTGGATTTTATCGCAGTTGTACCTTTTTGTATCTTTGCTGGTTTGGTATTTTTTTTCCTTTTTAGTCTGAATTTTGATAAAACCTTGTATTATATTCTGAAGAGAATGAAAAGACATTACCTCGTTTTCCGATCGTCCTCTTTAAAAATTCTCCTTTATTTCTCAATTTGTTGACTGATCATAAGGATGGTAGCAGTTTTAGATTGGACAAAAAAAGAACATATAAAACTGAGAACAATTGGAGCAGGATCATTTACGTGGAATAATTTATTACATATGAAGTTATCTATGTGTAAATTTGAGTGGAGAAACATAGTTCTTATGTCATTGATGTGTAATAGTAGCTAAAATGGAATTGTGGAAATGAAATTTCTGTACTGAAACTTGTTTGGAGTAAACTTGTGATGAATGCATTAGATGAGAATGGAAGTTGTACCAGTAGATGATGAGAATCATACTTAAGATGGTTTGGATCTGTACATTGGAGGAGGCAGCCTTTAGATACCTCTATAAGGTGGCTGAAACCATTGAATCATAAACTCTCATTAATGGGGGAACGGGAAACCTAAAAAGAATTGGAAAGAAACTAGTAAGAATTGGAAAATTGGGTTTCAGAGGGAGAAAGCTGGATCTCTTTTATTTAGCAGTCGTGTTTTTGAAATTCAATAAATAACCTGCAACAAATAGGAATATTGCTAACAGTTGATCATTATCTCCAAATTCTTCATTGTAATTCTCCTATTCAATTGGTTTCTGCAGATTATGGACTTCTGAGGAGATTCATGTCATTTTGTCAAGAATTACATGCGCAGTAGGCCTTTTAATATGTTCTCTTAGAATATCACTACAAAGGGAAAGACATTGATGCTTTCAACAAAAATTTACGCGGGAAAAGCGTTATCAAATCACCTTAGGAATCTTGGTTGATTTTCAGAGTAAACAGAATTCACATAACAGGTACCTATCCTGCAATTTTTAAGGGACGTTGGAAGCATGCAGAAGAGGCAGAGCCCTCATAGGGAGGTACCTGTGTCTCAATCTGATTCTGGTGAAACGTCTTCCCTTGTTTTACTGAAGAATGAATCAGAAACCTTGCAGCAAAATCCGAACTCTGCTGGTGCAAGCCCTGATTCAGGGGGGAGTAAAGTTGATATTGTATCAGCAGATTTGAATCAGGAGATGAACCCCGGTGATGAAGAGCCGACAAAGGTTTGTGGCAGTATAAGTGCAGCTGAGAGCCAGAGCTATGCAACAAAATCAAGTAAAACTTCTGTACTACCTGAAAATCCCCCATGTGCTGATGCTACTGTTGCCTCTTCAGTGCCAAATGAGAATGCGGTTCCTGAGAATGGAAATTGTGAGCAGTTAAATCAAGTGCCCATGGTGCCAAAGAAAGAGTTGGATGGGCAGAATGTTACTCCTGAAGCTGGAGGATGCTCTCCAGTGTCTTGTGAGATACAGACCTCTGAAACTGGGATTCAGTTGTCACAGTTCAACCAAGTTTCTATCATCACAAAAGTGGACCCAGACAATTCAGAGCCTGGTCAAAATCCTGATAGCAGAAGATATTCATCCCCACCATGTGGGGAGGGAAAATCTGAGTTAATAGAGCATGCGAACTCGTTGGTGCATGTACACTGTAACAATGCACCTGTTCCGACATCTTCATCTGATCAAGAGAACATGAGTTATTCTAGAAGACCTGAGAAAACTGTGTATAAATTGCAGCCTAGACGAAATCCTGATTCTGGCGTCCAATCTTTACAACCGGAACAAGAAATCTCCACTTTGAGATTACGGGAAAAAGCATTGGATGATGGATACAATTGGCGGAAATATGGACAGAAGCTTGTGAAAGGGAATGCTTTTGTTAGAAGCTATTACAAATGTACCTTTCCCAATTGTCGAGCAAAAAAGCAGGTCGAGAGATGCCATGATGGGCGTCTTACAGATATTAAGTACATTGGGCGACATGAACATCCTACACCTCATAGTCCCCAAATCTCTGCAGTTTCCACTCCTCTTCAAGTTTGCAAAGTGGATATGGCAATTGCTGCATCAGAAGGTAATAATTACAACTTAATGAAAAATTGCTTTGAATTATGGGAAACATGAGTTGACATTTCTGTGGTTTATTATGTGGTTTTGTTGTTGAAGATCCATCTGTTGGACATCCAGAAATTTCTCAACCTAGTGAGGCAGCACTAACTCAAAGGGAGTTGGCCACTCCAGAAAATAGTGATAAGGCAGTATCTTCAATCTCACCGTTGCATAATTCCACAGTTTATGGTGATGATAGCAGCAGTTCCAGCCTCAAGAGACAGTAAGATAAAACTACTATTGATTTTTTATCTTCATTCAGTGCCATGTGACTGACAATGATTCTTTGGCAACAGAAAAACAGAAACTTCTGGTGTTGATGACACTCAAGTGAAGAAGACTTATTGTGAATCACGACAAGTTGTCCAGATGACTAGTGAGGTTGACCTAGTGAACGATGGCTACAGATGGCGAAAATATGGCCAGAAATTAGTGAAAGGAAATCCAAATCCTAGGTATGTGTCAAGTCCTATTTTGGTTACAGTTGATACAATTGTAAATTATATTGCTCTTGTGATGGGTCTAACAATTCTCAAGAATTGTTCTTTACTAACTTACTACAGTAAGATCTTTCAATAAAATCTGTAGAAAAGTGTGATTCCATGTTCTGCAGCTTCATTAAAGGAATTTTCCATTGGGAAGATGCCTGTATAATGTGAATCCTATTGGTCTACCTCAACTTTAAATTCTTATACCTCCGATGCTTTTGCTCGTAATCTGCAGTTGAAATTGATATTTACTGAAATCGATTATGAACCTGCAAGTCAGATACTACTTTTGAGTACCTTTAAAGTTTGTGTGCAACAGATCCTTCCAGAGTTGCCTGTACACACGCAACAACTGCGTGTTAGCCTTTCTTTATTAGCATTTAAATGATAGTCTTTTGGTTTACACCGTATGATTATTTCTCGAAGACTGTAGAAGTTTGGTAAATATTATGCTGGTACTTAGGAATTTCCAATAAGGGACTCTTGGTATGCTGACAATGGAGAAAAGCAAGCCTTCTATACTGGAATATATGGATCATCCGGGACAGTGCTCTGGCGTTTAAAAATTTTAATTGCATTATGACAACTGAGGTGGCTGTCTTCTGGCAATTCAGCCGGTTTTTCTGGAAATTTGTTAGCATTTCATCAATTCTCTTAGTGAGTTGAAGAATTGCCTCATTTAGAAGCTAGTTACATCTTGGTAATCATGTTTATCGGCTGTTTGTGTGCTACTTGAGCACGTAGAAGTATAAATTAAACATGGTTGAAGTAAAACATGTTTCTGAATGCAATTATCTCAGCCTTGTATGTTCTCCTTCAGTGTGCTGTGTAATTTGTAAACTCTTATCTTGAAACATTTCTTGTTAAATATGTTAGTTGCTTTGCTTGTATTGCTTACAATTTTTCTGGTATTTATGATTCATGATCTTGGTCCATGCAGGAGTTATTACAGGTGCTCAAATGCTGGTTGCTCCGTGAAGAAACACGTCGAAAGGGCGTCTCATGATCCGAAAGTAGTTATTACTACATATGAAGGAAACCATGATCATGATATGCCTACTTCCAGGGCTTTTGGCCAAATTACACCCCAAAGTGGTAGTAATGGAGCAACAACCAGGAACAGTGAAAGTAGAACCGATCTTGGGGAACAAAACACTGTTGGCATGGAGATGACTGTACATATCGGTGCAACTTGATCAAGGGCACCGCCTTTGTTTAAAGATCTTACCTGTTATCTTCTTCCGTTGCATTTCATAAACACGAGTTTTAGATCTGCTTACCTGCTGCTGGAATCGTCGATATGGTAGGCTTGTGTAGGAAGAGGTACATTTATGCCTATTGTTGAGGCCACTAATTTAACAAGTTTATAGGCCAATTGATGATTATGTGTTGATGTACAAAAGTGTTTTAACAGATGATAGAGTGTATATCTTAAACAGATTGTTCAGTTGTTTTATTATCCATCCAGTCACACTTTCTTTTCATGATCCAAATAAGGTTGTCTCCTATCTTGGAGTTTTGGGAGTACCAGTTTTCTGTCTTTAAGATTAAGATTTAAAATTCAAGTAGGTTGCTTATGGTGGCTTCAAATTAGTTTGATGGAAGTTAAAAAGGAGCAAAAAGACACATTGATAATTTCCAAAATCCACTTTCACTTTGGTTAATGTGCCTTTTACAATTGACAAGCCTCTGAAATGTGCATCAGTACGCTCGGCATTGATCTTATCAATGCTTTGACAGAGATAAGAATCAATCTACCATCAACTACGATGGTTCAGAGCGGGGCAAGCGCTCGACCTTAGAGAAAGATCAACCACGGTGAACAAGCACAAAATTATCGACAGAAACTTGATCCAAGTTCACTGCCAGGCACAAGAAGCAACCAAATCTCTGTCCATCCAACCAAGGTAGAGGGCTTCATCTCTTTCTTCAACCCTGTATTTTTTGCAGTAGTTCTCGAGCAATCTTTTGATGGTGGCATTAACCAAAGAACTCAAAGGGTAAGGTCTGAAACCAGCCATTCTGAACCGGGATTTCCATTTCCCAAGTAGTTCATGTCTTTCCACTCTTTCAGGTCCCTCACAAGCTATTATGTTAACCACATCTCTTGCCAAACAGTGCTGCTCAATGTTTATTCGCTCCTTGTGCTCTCTTGGAAGATTAACATCAATGGATTCGAACATAGCGCTATAGTAGTCCAAAGTTTCAAGGAAACGAGGGAAAAATGGGGCAGTGTTTGTATTTGACTCATGCTCAACTAGGGTCACCACCTTTGGGTTCAAGCTCTTCACCAACCTTAACAGACGATCCCGGTGATTTTCTGTGGTGACACTTTCGTCAGGCATATGGTGTAATACAAATGCAAAATTCACTGCTAGTGCTTCTCCTGATTGAATTCCAAGATTTTCATGCTGAACTTCATTGCTAGACATGAGTGCAGCATGAAATTCAAATGGCACTTTGAATGACTCAGCAAGCCTAGATAGCCTCTTCCCAACGATACTCAGTCCTCCCCCACGTGCATATGCAGATGTGGGATCATCAATACCTGTAATGCGAATGTGGGGAGGCCCTCCTGGCCTGGCTGCAAAAGCTTGGATTAGCGTCACCCATTGGTTCCCTTGAGCGATTTGGAAATCAATGATATGAACTCTATTTTCATCCTTCATTGCTTCTGCAATAGCACCATTAGCTGACATATAGCCGAACTTGAAGTAAGGACAAACTTCATGAAGAATTTGCATGTATGAAAGCAGCTCGAAGCCTGCTGGCTCTTTGGATCTCAATGATTTGCAGATGGAACTTCCTGAAGCAGCCGATTTTGCAACAAGCCCTTCCAACATGTAGGCGCCTAGCCGCTGAATTGGCTCCCCTGAAACTGATACCATTTTGCGTAAATCAGACATCAAACAGTCTGATGTCAATGTATCGTTTTCTGATACTGCTTTTGCACAGGCAACAAGAACCTGCTTCAGGTCCCCTCCCGGAATAGCCTCAAACATTTGCCTCCAACTGTTTTCAGTTGAAGCTAGACTAATCGATAATGTGTTGTCACAAATCACAGAACAGTCAGTTTCAGGTCCAAGCATCGCAGATTCTAATTCCCTTAGTTTGTCCTTAATCAAGAAACTTACATCATCTGTAATGCAAGACTCACTTATTGAAGAGCCACGGTTAGTGTCCGGGGAATGAACTAAATCTGCTGGAAGAGATTGAGATGCTTGCTGGGACACAGGACTTCCATTTGGCGAAAAACTGGCAACTGAAGGGGAGTTGGCCATAGTGTTACTCACTGCCACCGGGGATGATGACTCCAGAGTGCAATACCGGTCCGAAGAAACCTGAATGGGGTGGCAACTAGACCCATAGATGCTATTGCTGTAGCTCAACTGGGGTTCTAAAGCTCGAATTCGAGGCGCGAGAAAAGCCTCCACCTTCTGGAAAGGCTGATTTAAGCACCAAGTATTTGACATTTGTTCTCTTCTAGGCCGTTGCGATGCTTGCATCAAGAAAGCTTCTTCTTTTCCGGATAAGTTTCCAGAGTGATTAATGCCTCTATTAAAAACAGCTTCTTTTGATTCAAGAACCTATACAGATATTACGAACAGCATATCGTTATTGCTAGGCGATGAGCCTTGATTTTGATCTGCATAATCAAAAACCAAGATCGAAAAAGGGTGATCAAAAATTGCAAGAATATCAAGAAAACAAATCATATGCAGCAGACAGAAATTCATTTGGATGTTGCAGTGCCACATTACTATGGAATTGCAAGCTAAAACACAAATATTCTCCAAGCTAGTATAGCAAGATCTGCCCAATTACTCAGAGTCTCAGACAATTCCATTAACTAAATGATGCTCAAGCACAACATTTAGACCTTTCATTAGCCTCTGAAAACCAACTTGAAAAATCCCATCTTTAGATCTTCATCTCTGTTTCCATAAAGTTCACAACTTCTGGAAAACAAACTTTTAAACATGTAGCAATCTATCAAGGTAGTTTGTAACAGAAGTTCCCATTAACCATATAACCAAAGGATAGAAGCCGGAACAACAAAATTCAGCTAGGAACCAAGTACCATACGCAGAAACAATTCAAAAAAGCAGTCTAAAAAACAACACAAAGTTCACATTTCACTGACAAGTTCTTGCAATGATAATGAAAACAGGACAGAAAAAACAGAGCGCAGAAAAAAACACCAAACAAGTTCCACCTACGCTAGATCTAACTCGAACCCTTTTGCAATATCTTCAGTCTGATTATAAAAAAAGCAATGGATACCTCTGAAACTTCCATCAAAAGGGTCCTCAATTGTGGCAAAATCTTCAGAAAAATTCTCACAGATGTTTTTCTCAATGCTTATCTAAAAGCAGAGTAGAGGTAAAGAAGACCAGGAACAGAGTAAGCAAAGATTTCTACAAAGGCAAGGTCAGTCAGTCAGTTGAGTAAGAGAAATCATACATTATCTCGAACCTCAAAAATTTTGATGGAATGGGATCCCAAGTCTCTTCTTGATTATCTTTTGTATTAAAAAGTAGTGTAAGTGTCCATTCCATTCTCCAAGTCATAAGCCGAAAATCGAAGATATGTACGAGACAAAAAGTTACCGAGAAAATATTTTAATGTATTCAACTTGGATCCTAAAATGGCCCTCTGTTTCCAATTTTATGACAGTTTTGCCATTTTCTTTTTTAATTCATTTTCCATATATTTATTACTACTAATTTATGGTAATCAGTGCATTTAATTCTTAACGAAATTATGAACTTCATGCACAATTAAATGGGTATTTTAAAATTTACCGTAGGTCTTTTTTAAATTCTCACTATTAGTTTTTTAAGAGACCTATAGAATATACTGAAAGAGTAGTGATACGTACAAGAAAAATTTATAAAAAATTTTAACTAGAATAATGTAGGTGATTATCCCTCTTAAGTAGATGAACCCGTAAAATTAAATTTTGACTATGAACTGTTATGATTCATTTTCGATATATTTTACTTGCAACTTTTCACTATAACAATCATTACTCAAATTGAAATGACATTATGCATCTATCATAACTAAAGAAAATTCACTAAAACTTGGTCTAACGGGGTCTATGTGGATGTTTCAAACCTTTAAAATTACTGCAGTACGAAAGCAGAATGTGGGCTGAATACCATTTTAATGTGAACTTTTGCGATACTAAACATCATTTACTAGCTTGGAATCAAAAAAAAAAATAAAAATCATTTACTAGCTTTTTACAAGTATTATTTTCAAACAAAATTCTGTAATCCAATCAACTGAATAGTTATGGTTGTGTTCTAATAGTGAAACAACATACATCGATCAAAGAATTACAAAAAGAGTTGGAAAACTAAAGGCTTCCAAAGTCATTTCTTCGTTTTCTTTTCTCAATGCTAAAATTATCCTCAATACCCTAATTTGACATGTTGAGAAAAAAGAAAACCCTCCTAAAACCTCTATACTATTAACTATCCATCCGATCCAAACCAGACGGAAACACTTTCAATTTCACAAGACAGAAATTCCCTCCCCTCATTTTTAATTATGGCAGTTCCAAAGTCCACTCAGGTTTTCATCAATAATCTACGAATACTCATAATCTAAACTATTCACCTAAACTCATTCTTTTCTTTGTTACTTTTTCTTATACTCTCTCCGTTCAAAATTATTGGCCAGTTTATAATTTTATTCTTAGTTCACATTATAATAAAAGTGAAATTTCAAACTGGACAATAATTATGGAGTAGAGAACGAGTGAGATTATCCATTATTCATAAGAAAGCTTGTAACCACTACAGGAAAAATGGCCTTTAGCGACATATAAAATGTGCAGCCAAAAGTAGCAAAAGTGTCGCAAAAAGGTTATTGCGACACAACATGCGGCTTAATACAAAGTGTCGCGATAAGTGCAGTCGCAAATTTTGCGACACTTTTTCCTGAAAGTGTCGAAGTAATTGCGGCACTTTTGCGACATTAATAATATGACTCGTGCAATTCGCGACATATATGATGTCATTTGTTTTATTTGTCGCGTTCGAATTTGCGGCACTAGTTCGTGTCAATTTGTTAAAGCCACAAGTAATGGTTACACTTTTTTTGCTTCACATGTTAAATGTTGCATGGTTAGTTGCGTCATTTATAAGTGCCACATAATTATTATTCACATGCGTCAATTTTTTTTATTCAATTACTACTATTTAATAGTTTAAAGAATAGATTATATATGTATTTATCTGATATATAACAATCAATGAATTTTTTTTAAAAAAAGAAAATGTTATAAAACTTAAAAACTATTATAATTTATTCTTAAAAATGGAAAGGAGTATTAAACAAACTATCATTCATGTACAATTACAAATGACCATTCTGATAAATTCATACAAAGAAACGAAACTCTAATTTTCTAATGTCATGTATCTTATTCGAAACAAAGAAGAAAAAAAAATTCATGTATCCCATTGGTGGAATCTGGAGTTTCTAGAGCAAATCGATTAAATAATATTTTCATCAATGGCTAAACAATAATTTTCACACCCTTCTTCCTCCTCTTTAGTGTCCACACTCTCTTCCTCGTCCTCGGGTGCGAGATAGCTCTGGGTGTGATTCGACCGTGGTCATGGCTAAAACCAAAACAAGAAAAGGGAAATGAATTTAAAAGGAGGAAAATGAATCATCAGAGATAATAAATCCAAAAAAAATAATTTAATAGAAATAAATATTCAAATGACTAGAGACAACCCCACCATCTTAACACTTGATTTGTTTTTCCTGTTATTGTGAAGATGACCGCCTCTGCATTTCCGTATTGCTTCGGACATAAAGTAGGTAAATCATTGATAACCAAGCCACCCACCACACCACATTCCGAACAACAAGAAATCACCATGGGACCAAAAAATACTAATAAGAACAACTTCGAAGAAAAAAAAACAGCAAAAACATTAAAAGATTTACAACCCCTTTTCTTTGGAAATCATCATCAATCTCTACTGGTAATATCATATTATACCATAGTCGGATTGCCCTTGATCTTCTCGTCTTATTGCCGGAGAGGTACCCACTTTTGACTTCGTAAATTTTGGCACCAATATACTTCAATTCTTCCTCGATCCGGCAAGTTCGCCGCTTCCCTACCAAACCTATAGATGTCCCATCAACCTCTAAGACAAGATCACATCTCGGAAGAGCTGGTTTTGTTGTAGGGAAAATTTAAAGAAAGGAAACGAAAAAAAGAAACAAAAGAAAGAAAAGAGAGAAGGGAGAAAAATCTAGACAAAGCGAGGTGAGGGAAGAAGTGGATGGAGGCGGCTGGATTAATGTAGGGTTTGCTAAAACTAGGATTATATATGAGCAGCCTAACTACCTTGTAGTAATGGTAAGCACTAGTAAGTAGTAGTAATTAGACGTGTAGTTATAGTTTTAGATAGTTAGTACTATTATTTGTACAAATAATTAGTAGTAGTTTTTATGTTTCTTTTGTTTGGTTAACAATTACTATTTGTATAAATAATAAAGTCATTACTCTTTTTTATTATTTTAGTCATAGAAGATATTTTTTTTATCTATTACATTATAGGTTTTTTTAATCAATTACCCTCCTAATTAATGACATTTTTCATTTTTTCCAATGACGCCAATAAATTTTTTTTGTTTTATTATAACATGAAAAAATAATTGAAAACAAGGAGTGATTTCCACATTTGTGCGTACTACTAGTTATTAGATTGTATAAGACAGTTCAGTGTTATATATGTGCATATTTCGTTTGTTTATTTGGTCAAATGTAGTTATGATCATGTATGATGATCTTTGTAAATGTATTATACATGCACCTTTTAATAGTATTCATTATAATAAAAGAAGTAACCTTCTTACATGATATTACATTACATTTTATTCTTTTTTCAAATAACTAGACAAGATGTATTATTCGTATTGTCATCTGATTTTACTTGAGGGTTTACTACTTAGTAAGGTAAACCATTATTTTGAGTAGATTTTATTTATTATTATCGATGAAAATTTTGTTCGTTTAGTAATGATTAAACAATTATAAATCTCAATGCATTTTCAATTCGTGTATATCAATTATTTTAAATTTGTCAAATTGGAGCTCATTTTGAATCCTTCAAATCATATTATCTAATGGGGTCAAATAATAAATATTAGGATGCCAAACTAGTATTCTAAAAAAAATAAAGAGGCATACTTTCAATTATTATGATTGTAGTTAGCCCAATCCATGGGCCAAGATCCAAAATGCATAGTCCTAAATATGTTAAACTTTGTTATTTAATTTGGTCCAAAATATAAAACTTTTATAAAAGCTATCCTTACTTGGGTGATTATAACACACACATCAACATAAGACCTTCAAAAGTCCAACTGCACGTACTTACCTATTCATATTTTTAAATCATTTTTTTGAAACTCTTGACATAATAGTATTCTATTATTTTTCAGAAATAGTAATATACTTGTCTATAATCCTTTGTGTTTGAGAAAAACCATTAACGCCATTCTTTCCCCTATTAAGCATATTTATTGACAACCATTCCTCTTTAATTATTTTTTTTAGTTATTACACAAAAAATTTGGGATTATTGCATACATGTAATTATTAGCACTGGCACCAATTTAACTTTTTTTTTCCATTTCAGAAATTAATTTGGTACACTAGAGTATCATACGCCACTAACTTTAAAAAAAATTAATTCCATATAGTTAAATCCAAATTATAGCACCTACGCCAAACTTTTGCGGCAGCAAAAATTAATGACGCATAGTGGAAGCCAAATTATGGCATTTAAGAAAAATGACACGAAAGTGTCACAAATTTGCAACGAAATAAGAATTATGTCATTAATTAACATCACTTTATTTCATTGTCGCAACGATATGCCGCAATTTTGCGGCATAAAAAATATGCGACGCTCAATAGTGGCATATTTACACAGTGACGTTATTGTGCCGCAAAATTGTGGCAAAAAAACATTAATGCCACAAATTTGCGCCATTACAATGCGACATTGCCTCAAAAGTGTCGCTAAAAGTCATTTTTCTTGTAGTGAACTGAAAGCATGAACTTCCATACCACAGAAAATTGAACCCAATGAGTAAATAGATTGGCGAGAGTGAAGTTTTTCTAATAATTGTTGGTCTAAGAAAAGAAAAAATTCTTTCAATTTAAAAGAATAGTCCAAATCTGTAAATTGAATTAGAAATAGTACAAATCACAAATTATAACGTGGATTATTACTTCTGAACGGAGGAAAATATATATATATATTTTTATGTTGAACATGTGCATTGAAATATTTTTTGGGGTTTATTAAAATGGACGGTGTAAAATGTGAAACGAACAGGAGAGATGATCGTGTAAATCTCATGTTCCGGATGGATATGGACAAACGAAACATCGTTGCTGCTGACTCCTCAGTCCTCACCAGCAAGTAGCAAAAAGCTACCGTCAGAATGCATGCTTCGGTTGTGTTTACTTTGTTTTCATAATCAATGAAAATCATTCTTGTCTTTGAAAAACATTTATCGTTCAAAATCATCACTTCATTAAAAAAAAAAAAAAAAAAAGATTATAGTATTAGAAGACTCTATTATG